ATGTTGTGTTAAAGGGCCTTTTTTTTTTCTTCTGAGTTTTGGAATTTAAAATAAAAATATATTCCACATAAACAAGGTACTCTAAACAAAGTCCACTACGATATGTACATAGGAGAAACAAGGACATGATGTCTCGTGCCAATTTTCTGTTTAAATTATTGCAATTTTCAACTAATAAAAGGTTTATAACCAATGATTTGTTGATCCGAGTTGAATGAATTCGATTTTTCTAAAATAAGGTTTTAAGTTCGAGTCTTGTGAATGGAGAAATAAGCGTTGGGAGAGTTTTTCCTTAACGAGATCTAACACAGTTCGATTCCGGATTAATCGGAATCCAATGTGATTACTGGATACCGAGAGATTAGTATAAAAAAAAAAACTAATACAAGATTTATATCCCTATTTCAAACCAATTGAAGTTTATACTCTTAACTTTAAATTTAGTGAAAGTTTTGTGTCTTTAGTTTTAGATTTTATCCTTAATAGTGTATTTGAGATGAGGAAAATGGAGAGAAAGGGAGAACAAGATTTTTCGATTAATTAAATTATAATATTTAAAAATTATTAACAACTTAAATAACTTAAAAATTATAATATTATAATTTAATTAGTTTAAAAGTTATCAACAACTTAAATAACTTAATAATTGAATCTTACTTTGTTAAAAGTAAAAAATTGTAAATTCAAATTGAATTATATGTAAATAAGATGAGATGGCAAATATGAGATTATTGTTTCTCATTATATGATTAAAATAAAAAAATTATTTAAAAATTTTTTCTCTCCCCTCTTCCATCTCTCTATTTCTCTCCAACCAAATATATTATAAGAATAAATGCCTTTATTTCTATCATATACCCTTTAGTTATGTATTATTTATTATCCTACCTTATTTGACCATATGACCAGAAAATATTCATTCATCAAAATAAATATGACTATTATTATTATTATTATTATTGTTGTTATTATTATTATTATTTCGAGCCAACGCGAAATGAAACAGAGATTTTTTATGCAAGAGTGGGCACCGCCGGAACGGCAGGGTAGGTATCCTACTGGTTATTTTTTCAGTTACCATAAATTTTTTACAATAATTTTTATTGGTAATATCATGCTCAAGGTTTTTAAAA